TATGTTATTTATTTGAATCCTATTTGCAGATACTCTTCCATTTCCTTCTCTAGAATAACTAGAACTACATTTGGACCAACTAAATTTAAATTGTGAAACCTTTAGCTGGGTTTCCTCTCCACCTCCCAAGCTTCTGTGTCACCACCCCACCCCCATAATCCTGAAGGCAAGGGTTCTGGGAATGGAACTGACAAGAAGCAGATTTAGGCAATGTGTCACTCTCCAGAAATAGAATACTATTCTCACTGATAATTGAAATCATCATTGGATCGCTCATTGTTTTAGTGACCAATCAAAATGTGATCTGCCTACACATTTTGCACAAGTGTATTCTAATGAAACTTAAAGTTGGCTATGCTTTTAGTCTTAGGTTTGGGAGCACAGCAATAAAGAAAATTCACAACATCCCTGATATCATGGAACTTAAACCTAGTGGAGCGATAGACAAACAAGAGTAAACATACAATTTGTCAATTGTTGATAAGCACAACAGAAAAAAAAAATAAAAGTGGGTTTGAGATGTATGGGGATGGTAGGTTATTTCTATTTTGTATTATGTGTTGAGGGAAGGCCTTACTGACATAGTGTCATTTGAACAAAGGCCTGAAGGAAACTGGGGATAAGCCATGAAGATATCTGGGAGAAAATCACTCCAGGCAGAGAGAAAAGCAAGTGCAAAGGTCCTGAGGCAGGCATGTGTCCACTGTGTTCCAAAATAAGCAATGTGTACTTGTTGCTTATGAAGAGTGAGCTGTGGGGAGAAGAGTGGGAAATGAGATCAGAGAGGCTGCAAGGGGTAAGATCCAGGTGAGGACCTGGATGAACCTCTGCATGACATAGGGCTCTACTAGAAGGTTAGAGCAATGGGGTGGCTCTCCTTGGCTTGGCTGTGTTGAGTCTGTGATGATGATAAGCCATCCAGGTGGTAATCAAGTCCACAGCAAGAGAGAAGTTTGGATTTCGGGGAAAGAAGATGGGAATAGAAATTTCAACTTTGGCCTCACAAAGTCTTGGAGAAGGATGAGTCTTCCAGGAATTGACTGTGGATAGAGGAAGCTGAGTGCTGGGGCCTTCAACTCTTAGGGGCTGAATAGAAGAGGTGTGTGTGAGGTCCAGCAAAGATTCTCAGAAGAAGTAGCCAGTGAGGGGACCCAGAAGGGTTTCAAAGAGGCACAGCCACTGAAAAGAACATTATTGTTCACTTTGCAGCAATATGGATGGCCCTAGAGGTTGTCACATGGAGTGAAGTCAGTCAGGCAGAGAAGGAGAAATACTGCATGACATCCCTTACATGTGAAATCTAAAAGAAATGATACAAATGAACTTATTTACAAAACAGAAACAGACTTGCAGATTTAGAGAATGCACTTACGGTTGCCAGCGGGGAAGGGATAGTTGGGGAGTTTGGGATGGACATGTGCACACTGCTATGCTTAAAATGGATAACCAACATGGTCCTACTGGATGGCACAGGGAACACTGCTCGATGTGGCAGCCTGGATAGGAAGGGACTTTGGCGGATAATAGATACATGTGTATATATGGCTGAGTCCCTTTGCTGTCCACCTGAATCTGTCACAACATTGTTAATGGCTATATAGTAATAAAATAAAAAGCTAAAAAATACAACAAAACAAAAGCACTTTCTTGAGATAAGTATCACTGAATTAGATTCACTAATTTACACAAGAGCTATCATTGTACATCAATCTCTACAAGACACATATTCTATTAATAAAGGATTACGAATAGATAATAGGATCATGACTATACCCGCAGCTGAGACAAAAAAAAGCCTTCTCCTTGACTGGTGAGACACACCTTGGGATTTTACGGAGCAGGAACTATTAATACAAACTGTATGAAGCCCTGCTGCCCTGATTTGAGCTTTGGGGGAATTTTTAATGTATCTGCCCAATGCAGATACTTCTCACAGGGACACATCATGACATATGTGCTTGCTTATTTTTCAGAATATTGTTTTGCTGTCTTCTGTTTTCAGAATCACTTCAAAATGCATTCCTTCTTACTTTGGATTTTGGCTCAGAAGTTTAAGGTTTATTACAGAATATTCTTTGAGTTAAGTAAGGAAGATTCCCTTTACAGTGCCCCTCAGAGGCTGGGGGCCGTCTCTTCATTTACAATGACAATGTATGCAACAAACACCATGTTTACATGGGTTGTTTGGAAGATTCATTGCTACCCCTGTTGCCTTCATTTCTTTTCCTCTGTAAGTCTTGAAGGAGACCTCTCTTCATCACTTCCTTGTACATGCTCACTCCTTTGGAGAATTATCTTAACATCCTAAGAGAAGAGATTCAAAGAGAAGTTACAACTCAGTAAATGAATTAGAAGCAATGATTATTAATAATATGGGCTTCAATATGTGGCAGTGATTAAACAGTGAGTTTTTGTTTTCTCCTTTGAGAAAATTGTTCTCTATTTAGTGTGAATCCTGCCTTGCAACTTATTAATTTTGCCAGTGGACAGAGATCAAAGCTCTCAGAGACTTCATTCCCCCATCTAATAAGATCTAATAATAGAGTTGTCATATTAGATTAATTAGATAACATTTGTAAAAGCAATTACACAGTTCTTGTTTAGTTGCTAAGTCATGTCTGACTCCTTTGTGATCCCCAGGACTGCAGCCCACCAGGCTCCTCTGTCCATGGAATTCTCCAGACAAAAATACTGGAGTGGGCTGCCATTTCCTTCTCCGGCAATTACACAGAGTTTGGCACAAAACAGGAAAGGCAAAACATTATTTCCCGATTAATCAATAAAAAACAATATTCACCTTCTATTAAGGGAAAATTCTAGTGCTAAATTAATCATGTTTACAGATTTGTAGAATTTTAGAACAGCAGATTATTTTGAGGCGGGGAATTATCTCCTTTCTGTTTTTTTTTTTTTTTTAATATTAGGAAAAGAATGATCTGTTTTTTGTCCACTTAAAATATCCAACTAGGCTACATTTTAAATCACAGACGCTTATAAAATAAATTTAAGATATTATCACAATGTATTAATAGAAGGGGTACTAGCATAAGGGGAAAACGTAAAATTACATTCACTCAGTTTCCAGGTTTTTTTTTTAGAGAACTCTTTAAGAATATAAGTTTCCTTACTTCAGAGCTGAGTTCCAAAAGTTTCTATTTGACTGCAGTCACTGTCCTCATGAAAACATGAGTTAGTTCAGCATCCGAACAGAGCCCTGCTGTGTGACACCCACATGGCTGTATCAGTCATTGCCAGGAAACATCGTGAATCATTTTCTTGAAGGAGTTTGTTCTTTGAAAATATAGATCTCCCACAGCTGAAGGGCAATCTTGGGCAAGTTAAGTGAAAAAGAACAGCTGCTTGCCATTGACCTTTCTGGTCCGACCCTCCACAGTACTTACTGACAGGTCTTCTTTGCAGAGAATATTATTTCTAATAGCTATTGCTGACTAGTGACCATTTACTTGGGGATTAAGGAATGAGTTGACCTGTGAGTTGACCATATCATGGGGGAAAATTATAAGCTCTAGATATTTCAATCAGTCCTGGCTAGATTTATAGCTGAAATCAAGGGCCATAATTTTAAGTAACAGTTAGTGGGGAAAAGGTTGAGAGAGTCTAGAAATGTTTGGCATGGGTGCCTTGAAAACACAAAGCGCTGAAGCAGCCACTGTATTTTGTTACAAACATAATGGAGGTGGTTGGAGTGTATCTTAAAGTTAGATACCTTGAAAACTGTGTCCCTTCCAGTTACATTTATATTTATAGGTACTTTGCCCTCATGTAATCAGGTCCTGACTCATTTGTTTCTAAGAAATTCTCCTGTGACATTCTGACTTTAACACTGAGAGATTTATTTTTATCTCCTAGTGAATGGAACCCTTAATATTAAGGCTATCTGCTGGATGTACAGGTTTTGTTAAAAGAGACTCACATTTATGCAGCATATGTGTGCATCACAAGAAACTACATTTGGTGAGTTGGGTGCAGAAAATCCAACGTCCACTTACACTTGTAAATCTACTTATGGGAGGAAACTGACTTTCTTCACTAACCACCCACTGACGGTGTCCTCAATGATCTTGTTACATTTAAGCAAAGCATTTTCTTAAGAATTTAGGAACCTTCCTTGAAAATAACCTCTCTCTATAAAAATCTATGAAAGAAGTTAAATAAATGAGCTTGAGTTGAATAACTATAAAATCCAAAACAAAACATGGATCTTCTGAGTTGGAATTGACCACATGTGGATTCCTGGGACTTTGGTTCGGACCCCCTGTCATCATGACACTCTCCAGTGAAAGTCTCCTTTCGTTCCAGAGAACAGACACTGAGTCCGGCAGATGAAACGCCAGCTTTTAGTTCATCTGTGTAAATGTTGCACTATTCAGAAATATTCCTTATGCACCGGAACCACCAACAGGCCAGCAGTAATAATAATAGTAGTAATAATTACTATGTAGTGTTAGTCACTCAGTCGTGTCTGACTCTTTGTGACCCCATGGGCTATAGTCTGCCAGGCTCCTCTGTCCATGGGATTCTCCAGGCAAGAATACTGGAGTGATCCAGGGGATCTTCCTGACCCAGGAATCAAACCAGGTCTCCTGCATTGCAGGCAGATTCGTTACCATCTGAGCCACCAGGGAAGCCCCTACTCCGTAGTGAGGGCTTTCCATCTGCCAAGAACGGAGCTAAACACTTTGTATGGATTAAGTCATTTAATCTGTACAAGGACCTTGAGACGCATGTTTGAGAATTAACCCTATTTTACAGATGGGGAAACCAAGGCATCATGGGGTCACTTGCCCAAGGTCACACAGTTAGTAGCTATGAACCCAATCAACATGGCTCCTGAGTCTGCTCTCCTAACCACAAAGCCAGGCCACCTCTCCACAGGAGCAAAAAATAACACGTATCAAAATGATTACCCAAACTGGCCTTTTTCATATGTATTTTTAAATGTTTGCTAGTTCCAAACATGAATCTTGTAAACACAGAGCTGTTGGGTGACAACCTTTACTTCCCACTGTTTATAACAGCAAACAACATTTTAACCCGAAAAACCACACTCTAGTTTTTGCTCTACTTATCTTGAAAGATCTTCAAACAACATCACTGTGGTTAAAGTTCATTTTAAAAATGTGATCTATTTACTTGCACATGGATATCTGGAGCAAAAAAATTGATGACAGGATGAGAGTGTTAGTAACTGAGTCTTCAGAGATTTTTTTTCTTTTCCTTTCTTCTTTTTCTTTATTTGCTTAGCAAAAATGAGAATAGAGCATCTTACTGGAAGGGAATCTCTTTCCTTTTCAAGCATCACATTTAGTTTTTTCAGGTCAAAGGCTCAACTCTTGTCGGAATGGTGCTCTGACTAGATTCTAGCAGGTGGTTCAATGTCCTCTCGTCAGATTCCAGGGTGGAGTAATGACAGGGAGGAGAGATGAGGGACCAGGATGGTGGAGGGCTGAAGAAGCTGACTTGGCAGAAGTACTCTGGCAATGAAGGAACGAACCATCGGACGGCTAGACAGACTGACAAGCTCTCTTTCTACTATTAGGGTGTCAGGTGACATTCATGCTCTGAAGCTGGAGGTCAGAACAAGCTCCAGCTGCGGGGTGGGGGTGGGGGGGTGCTCTCAACCCGAGGGGTCTGTGCACCAAGCAGGATTTGGGGAACGTGCAGAGATCTTTTTGGCCATCAAAGCATCAAGGTGCTCCTGGAATATAGTGGGCAGCAACTCAGAATGTCAGACGTTCTGCCATGCCAGAGTCGGTCCTGCGCTAGGGTTCAGCTGGGGTGCACGCTGATAAAACTCCTTCCTAAATCAGAGAAATGCGTGAAGTGACAAGAACCCTGCTGACTCCAACTTTCCCTGAGGATCAGAGTCCATCTTCAGGGGGTTGACCTTCGAAGGCAGTCAGTCATCTGTTGACGGAGTTTTTTCTTCAGGAACATGCCAGATAGAATCGTCTCTGCAAAAGTCAGTAATAGTTAGACATTCTGGCCAGGATAAAAATGTTCCCCAAATCGCCCTGACTTTGCAGGGAGTTCTCCCATAATAGGAGGAAGTGATGGTGGCATCATTTTAGGGTCCTAGTTGTTGTTGGTAAGATAAGGTAAACCCTACTGCACATTATTCTAAGGATTTGAAAATTATTTTGCTGGTTTAAAATAGGGAGATTGTGCCCTGAAATGTGGAACAGAATGTGTAGGATGAAATGCAGTCTAAAGAGATGGGCTTCTGGAACCCACCTCACACAGAATGATGGTTGCCCAGAGGACAGCAAAGGCAGGGAGACCCCACAATTGGCAGACTGCCCCCTATTCTGCCTGTGAGCACCATGCATCCACCCACCCACCTCTCTCCACCCCTTTGTCTAGTTCCGATGTGTGCTGTTCCCACTAATTCCAGGGTGACACTGATCTATCCCATTCTCATCCTAAGTGGGGAAGAAAGCTGGTCTTTATGAGTGAAAGTAGGAGTGTAAAATACTGAAAAGGGACCTGTGACATATGGGTTTCACTGTGAAGAGTAAATGTTTGTGGGATGTATGAGTACAATTACTTGGAATGTTGCCGACCACATATTCAAGTATCTTGGGCCTGTTTAAATAAAGAGACAAATAATTTTACAAAGAAGATGGTTAAATGTAGAGATATGATGATGTGATATGATTAAGAGGGCTTCCCTGGTGGCTCAGTGGTGAAGAAACCATCTGCCAATGCAAGAGACACTCGGGTTTGATCCCTGGGTTGGGAAGATCCTCTGACAAACCCACTCTAGTATTCCTGTCTGGGAAATCCCATGGACAGAGGAGCCTGGCGGGCTACAGTTCGTGGGGTCGCAAAAGAGTAGGACACAACTGAGCAACTAAGCAACAACAACAACAACAACGGTTAGAGATAAGGAAACACTTCAGTTCAGTTCAGTTCAGTTGCTCAGTCGTGTCCAACTCTTTGCGACTCCATGGACTGCAGTACACCAGGCTTCCCTGTCCATCACCAACTCCGGGAGCTTGCTCAAACTCATGTCCATCAAGTTGGTGATGCCATCCAGCCATCTCATCCTGTCAACCCCTTCTCCTCCTGTCTTCAATCTTTCCCAGCATCAGGATCTTTTCTGATGAGTCAGCTCTTCGCATCAGGTGGCCAAAGTATTGGAGAATTCAGCTTTAGCATCAGTCTTTCCAATGAATATTCAGGACTGATTTCCTTTAAGATTGATTGGTTTGATCTCCTTGCAGACCAAGGGACTCTCAAGAGTCTTCTCCAATACCACAGTTCAAAAGCATCAATTCTTCAGCACTCAGCTTTAGATCACTTGCATCTTATCAAAGTGAAAGTGCTTTTATCGAAAACTCGGCTAACCCTCTGTAGTCCAATAAACAATTAGCAGGAGCCAAATAGGGAGACTGCATACTACTAAGTGTGTGAGGATTGTGAGAAAGTTGTAGCAAACTGCCACATTCTGAAAGGTGGTCACCCCCAGCCTTCCGTAGCCCTTGCTGTTGGGGACCCAGCACTTGCCAGGTAGATGCACATTCAGCATGTGTGGTTGATGTGCGAGGTGATGGTGTGAGCTCTGAGCCCCAGCTCTTCCTCTCTTCCTTCCTTTATTCTGCTGACTTGTTCCAGCCCCTCTGAGTCCTCAGTGTCCTGAACAGTTTCTCTGATGGAACCCTTATCCTTTCTTTCAGAAGTGTGGCCACTGCACAAGTTACAGCAACAATGTGTATCGTGATGAGAGTTTGGTGAATAAATCAGCGCTTGGCTGGGGATCAGGGTCTCCTTTGTCCTCTTGGGCAGGGAGATTCTATTCCCCATGCTCTTCAATCATAGGCCAGGGTCATTCGATGGCTGGAGTAACGCAGAACACGAATATAGCCACCCATTCAGCTTTTACTGCCATCTACCTCCAGCCTTCTGTGGTAGACTCAAGGCCTCAGAGTCCTTGGGGCAGCTCTATGGTATTATCCCTAGTACTGGCGGTCCTATTGGTGGTACTAATCATGTTACCCATATACTGATAGTGCTAACTAGCATGGTACCCATGTACTGGTATGGTGTACTAATAGTCACTTCTACTCTGCCTGAACTCACTGCCCTTGTGGTATTGAGGGCTGGCCTTTTTGGCCTGATGCTGTTACCAGCTTAGCTTCCCGAGACCCTGGTCAAGCCTAGTCCAGCTTCTTCCCTCCCTCTCTTCCTCCACGTTTGTGTTATCCCACCAAGCCCTGAACCTGAATTCAACCACGTTAAGACAATGAAGAGGAACAGTCCTGATGAACCTATTTACAAGGAAGAAATGGAGACGCAGACACAGAGAATGGACTTGTGGACACAGCGGGGGAAGAAGAGGGTAGGATAAATTGAGAAAGTAGCATTGACATATGTACACTATCATGTGTAAAATAGATAACCAGTGGGAAGCTATTATATAACAGACAGCCCAGCCTGGTGCTGTCTGATGACTTAGAGGAGTGGGATGCAATGGGGGAGGGAGGCTCACAAGTGAAGGGATATACATATATATATGCACATATATTTAATATATATACAACAATGCAACATTTATAAAGCAATTATCCTCCAATAAAAATAAAATAAAATTGTAATGACAATTTTAAAAAAGACTGTATTAGGATCTTTGGGTAATACTCACAGGGATCTTATAGTCTGAATAACTTGAAATCAGGTCTTGAATAAAAGGATGCTTCAGAAGAATAGCAACTTCAACTGGCTCGAGGTTCTTGGAACCTAGGTCCTGAAACACTTTTATGAAGTTCTTAAAAAGAAAAAAAAAATAAGTTTAATTAAATCTATGATCCTGATGCTGTTAAAAATGATTTTATTTCCTAAAGGAATCATCATAATTTCTACATGTTGAGACATTTCAGGAGAAATTCTATGACCATACACTCAAAATTGACGGAAATTTTCTTGGGTATAGGTTGTCCCTTTAATGAAAGAACCCAACCAACCTCTAAATAAATGTTCTCTATCTTTTGGTGGCTGGCAAATCTGTTAGCGTCCAGTACTTCATTTCCTCCTCGGAACACTCGGAGTAATGTTTGCATGGAAATCATTTCAGTATTCGCATTTTCAGGGAGTTCTTCTTCCTTTTCCTCCCCGTCCTCTTGTAATTCCCTTTCCTCACTCATAAAATTGTCCTCGAGTTCAGGATATTCCTCAATGGGACTCATATCAGTAAAGGAAGAGGTCTGTGCAATTAAATAAAGAGAAGATGAAGTCTTTCCAGTAATAGAGATATTTAGAAAACACCAATTTCGTCCCGAACTTTTTATGCCCTGAGATGGTAATGCCTACTGGTGTGCTGCAGTCCATGAGGTTGCAGAGAGCTGAACACAGCTTAGTGACTGAGCAACAACCACAGACTAGCTAAACAAAGTCTAAAGATAGAATATGCAGACAATAAGACAAGTCTTTCTTCCTTCGCCAACTCAGAAACAACAGCAAGAAGCAGCAAAAAGTGGTTACCAACTGGGAAGGGTGGGGGAGGGGTAAATTAGGAGTTTGTAATGAACATATACACATGAATACATCTATAAAATAGATAACCAATGTCCTACTGTAAACTCAATACTTTGTAATAACCTATGAAGGAAACGAATCTGAAAAATATATATATATGTATAATTGAATCACTTTGCTCTACACCTGAAACTAACACAGCATTGTAGATCAATTATACTTCAATAAAAAATAATAAAGTAAAAAGAATAAAAAGAAAAGAAGTAGAATACGCCGGCTGCACTGGAAATCATGTCAAAAGTCTAGACCAATTCTGCTGGTACTTGACAGAGGCCTTAGAGTGGGGTGAGTTTTATTTACTTTCATACATGCTTTTGCTTATCACTCTTCCAGATACACTGTATGCACTCATATGCATATGCACACATTTATGCATACACTTATGCACCCTAAGTCCCCTCAGTCATGTCCCATTCTTGGCGACCCTATGGACTGCAGCCCGCCAGGCTCCTCTGTCCATGGGATTTTCCAGGCAAGAATACTGGAGTGGGCTGCCATTTCCTTCTCTAGGCGATCTTCTCCATCCAACTTCTCCAGAAACCCCCTCTCTCCTGCAGGCAGGTTCTTTACCGCTAGTGTCACCTGGGAAGCCCCAGATACACTGTATTACTCAGTAAAAGAACACTGAAATGAATTGTGTGACTTCTGTCAAACTTTTACACATGAATCTAGATTTTTGACAGGATTTGCTTTGGAAACTGCCTGCAGTCTAGAGCTTGTGGCAGGTTAATTTCTCAAGTTTGATAGATTCTGAGAAACGTTGACAGCCTTTGTTTGGATACTGGATATTAAACTCAATGAAGCATTCAGAAGGTAAAACAGAAAACTGCTTGAATACAGACAGACTGGGATTCATATTGTTGCTCTTTGAAACTTGGCCAAGAGCCATGAACTTAGACGCTGGCATTCTTAGCATGGGAAAAAGTAAATTGTTTCTGATGTAGTTTCTTATGTATCAAAAGCCTGAAAAATATGCCTACCTTTTGACCCAGTAATTACTGATCTAGGAACTGATTCTAAAGAAATATTCAGGTGCACCAAATATTTTGTATATGGATGTTTATTCTGTGTTACTTACAGCAAAAATAAAAAACCTATGATTCCGACAACAGGAAATGGTGACACCAATGATAGCATTGGTCTGTGATGGAATGCTATGCTGCTGAAAGCATTTTAGTTTAGAAGGATACCAAATGACAGTGAAAAAACAATCATAGGATAAGTGCAAAAAGGGAACAAAACACAAATAATAAATACACCAGGGTCCACATTTCCTTATATATCTAATACTTATTAAAGAAAAAGAAGAGAAACCGATACATTAAAGAACTGACAGCAGTTACCTCTGATTGCTCAAACAGGTGATTTACTTTTCACTTTATTTTGTACTTTGCAAGTTCTCTACGGTAGATTTGCATTTATAATATTTATAGTAATAAATGTGTGTGTGTGTTTCTGACCATGAGGTAATAGATATTCAATGATTTGCCATAGAAAAATGAGCGTTTTCAGAATGTTGACTGGCCCAACATCATAGAACACCTGAGGGCTGGTTCTCTTTTATTCTGAGGAAGGAAAAATGCTAATTTAGGCTTAAAATTAGAAGAGGGTGCCATTGCTTGTAAATACTCAATTCAGTAGAAGCATTAAGGGCATGGATCACAAAAGTTCTTTCCAAATAGCCACTGAAGTCCCAAGTGTAAAAGGACTATACTATGGCACAGAATTAAGCCTCTGGTCATCGTAAGCCCCTCTGAAGGATGTGCAGGGGTGGAGGGTGGTGCAATGGAGAAGGTTGCATTTGCCCTAGTTCTGTGTGGTCACCTTGCTTGAGTTTCTGTATCCTTTGCTAACTTGGAAATTTAATCTAATCTTGAAGTTTTTGGAATTGAATATATCTATCTATCTAGTCCTTCTTGTTTATCTACCTACCTACCTATCCAGTTAGCCTCTTATCCATTTTAAACAATTACAATATTGATCTACTTGGCAGAAATGTGAAACCGACTTTTTTGTCTCTACCTAGGAAGCTTGGGAATCATCACACTGGCTTCCCATCAATAATTCCCCAGAGTGATAGAACATTGAGTGTGGTGAAAAGAACACCATTGAGACATAGAACATCTTGCTGATAGAATGAAGAATGAGTGAATTTCTATTCAGACAGAACCTGTGGGTGAGCGCGTGATGAGCTGGGCTGGATGAGCAGACGATACCAAAATTAAAGAGCAAGAGCGTTCACCATTCTCTTCACCATTTCCGGAACTAGAGAGGGCCCAACTACTCAAAGACTTGATATTATCTTCATGGGATAAATGGATTTTTTGTTTTGGCCAAAAGATAATGAGTTAAAGATCTGAATGAAGAATGTCATTCAAATGGTATTATGTCATTAGGTTTTACTAGGTCAGAGGATGCTTTATAAGCATTTGCTAGTTTTGTTTTCTAGGGGGTTGGAGAGAATAGACTTAGTGGTTCAGTGGGAAGGGAGGCCGAGATCAGGGCCCAAGGAACCAGATCAGCCTCCTGGCGGGACAGAAGGGTGTGCGCAGGAGCGGGGCACTCTCCAACAGGCGGCAATTGTGGATGTGGATGTATGGACAAAACCAGGCATGCCAGTTTGGAGAAAAGCCAGGGCTTTTGAATGAGCAATTATTAATGGCGTCAAAACTCTGTGTGAATCACATTATCTTCTAAGCAGCAGGCAGACTGTAAGGCTGACAAACACTTTGTCTCTCAGAGACACCCTCAGAGGCAGCCCTTGAAGATTCCCAGCAACACTTCCTCAGAATGGTGCCTGAGTGTGCATTTCTACCATTCAGTCTGTTTAGTTCCCCACATCTTAGAGGCAGAACAGAAGTTCAGTCCTCGGGACTAATGTGAACAAAGCATCAAAGAGCAGAATGGGAGGAACATTTAAGTTATTTGAACCCCAAGGCCTCAACCCACCTGTCAAGATGCCTTAACAAGACTCTCAAAATTCCAATATCATAACCCCGAATCCCATAGACCAGGATGAACAAACATCAACTTCTTTGATGTTTCACGTTGACTAGTGCCTGCTCATGAGTGCTTGGCCCTTGAACTTCTTTTAAATTACCCAAAGAAGCTGCGAATTTAAACAGGAGGTCTGTGCCACAATGAATAAAACAGCATGTAAGGAAGAAGAGAGTGAGAAAGAATGAAACAAATGGGAGATTTCCAGTTGTTTATTTGGAAAGCAAAAACCGAGATATGATTAAATGCCTTGGGAGTAAACACAGACCTGTTAGAGGTATTGTTTCTGAGCAGGTTCGTTTTAACTTCCTGGGATCAGGTTGCCCAGGAAACTAGAACACAGTTGAAAGGGCACAGGGAGGCAGCAGGATAATTGGAGCCTGGATGGTGAGAGCTAGGAGGAGGCAAGAATGGGGGAGGTGGTGGGTCCTGTATATCAAAAGCTCCTATGCTTCACTCCCAGCCAGGAGCAGGCTTGTGTGTGTGGCATGTGACAGACCTGCCCCTACCCTGGCTTCTTCGCTGCTGTGCAGTGGTTGTGGGAGAATTCTTGCCCAGTGTCCTTGGAATTTAAAAGAGCTCTTGAGAGAAGCAACCCAGGGAGCTGCTTCCTGGGCGAGCACTAGCTCAGGGGTCAAGGCCAGAAGGGATGCAGCCTCTTACAGTGCTGGTGCTAGCTGGCCTGGCTGCTACCCACCCAGACAGCTGTCTGTTGCTATGGCAACCGTTCTAGCACAGGCTGCCTTTTCCTGTTTTTTTTTCTGGTGACTCACTGCAGCCTCTGGGAGAAGGAAATGGCACTCCAGTGTTCTTGCCTGGAGAACCCCAGGGACGGAGGAGCCTGGTGGACTGCTGTCTATGGGGTCGCAGAGAGTCGGACACGGCTGACGTGACAGCAGCAGCAGTGCAGCCTCCGAACCTGCCATTGCCTCTGCGTCTGGAACGCCTGCTCTCCTCCTCTCTGCCTCAGAGACGGGGGTCCACCCCTTCCTTCTCTCTTCCGCTCTTTCTTCCCTTTTACCAACACTCCTGGAGAACTTGTTATGTGCGTTGCTGAGTGCCTGCTACTTTAGAGGATGCAAAGAGGGTAACAAGCTGTCTCCAGTGCACAGGAGGAGTCAATAGATAAACCACCCACTGCGTGCGTCACTAGTCCTCCTCCCTCCCGTGCTCCCTGCAGTCTGCTCTCTATGGGCATGAAATGACCCTGCCTCAGCGCCTTCTCATCTCCTCTCTCGGCACAGCCAAAGCCAAGGTCCCGCCAGGGGCCCTCGGAGTCCTCTCCCCATCACCGCCCTTTCCTGCTGCCCTCCTCCAGCTCAGCGCTCTGCAAGTGCTGACTTGCGGTTCTTTGGGATACTCCAGGCACGGCCCCATGTGAGGTCTTTCGCATCCACTGCGGTCTTCATTTAAACGCTCTTCCTCCAGAGGTCTATCTGCAAGGCTCTCTCCCTTACCTCTCTGGGCCTTTGCTTATATGTCTTTTCACAGAGTCACCTTCTGTGATGGCACTATTTAACACTGCAACTCCTTCCCAGACTCCTGCATTTTTCCCTATCTTCTTTTTCACCTGTGGCATTTATCACCATTTGATTAAGTCTTCACTTTACTTGCTTTATTCCCAGGTCTAGGGTAGTTCCCACATCACCAAGGTGCTGGATAAGTAATTGGGTAAATGCCTGGGATGATTCTCAGTCTTGCCAGAGAGGATCTGGATAAAATTGGGGCTCAGGTGAGGGAGCGCTCAGGGTGTCAGGGGGAGCTTCATGAATGAGCTGGTGTAGGAAATAGGCCTTGGATACTGGAGAGGCCTTGAACCTTTCAGGATGAGCTGGCAGATGCTCTAGGTGGAGGTAACAGCAAGAGCAAAGACACAGGGTGGGCAAAAAAGAAGGCAAAGACCCCTCTTCGGATCAGTAACGCCCCATGCTAACCTGTCTTTTGTTCTGTGTTCCCTCTGTGTTTGGGCCATCATTCCCTCGTCCTCCCATTCTTTCTTGTATAGTGAAAGTGAAAGTGTCAGTCACTCAGCTGTATCCTCTGTCCATGAGATCTTCCAGGCAAGAATACTGGAGTGGGTAGCCATTTCCTCCTCCAGGGGACTTCCTGACCTAGGAACTGAACCTGAGTCTCCTGCATTGCAGGGAGATTCTTACAGTCTGAGTCACCAGGGAAGCCCTGCATGGATATGGGCAACTGGATTTGTAACCCTTGCAGATCACAGGACTACACAAAGGGTATAATTCACAAAGCTAATAATGAGTTAATTGATTGTCCCACTCAGTGAAATGTCTTTACTGAGCTCTGTAGCAGCAATTCAGGTTCAGGAATGCAGGTTTGGGGATGCAGAACAAGACAGATGGCCCTTCCCTGACCACCTGGGGCCCAGAGCCCAGAATGGAAGCTGACCATGTAAAGCAGTTAACTGTGAGGGTTACCGTGAGGGGGGAAGTGCAGAGAGCCATGGGAACACAGGCAGGGTGCGGCCACCACTCCAGGTCAGGGAAGGTCTCCTAGAGGACAGACATTCCGTAGAGACCTCAGGTAGGTCATGATCCACGCCAGAGATGGGAGAAGGAGGCCCAATCCACACAGAGATGCAGAAACACCCCTGTGTGTGTGCGTGCTGTCATTTCAGTTGTGTCCAACTCTTTGCAACCCCATGGACTGTAGCCTGCCAGGCTCCTCTGTCCATGGGATTTCGCAGATAAAAACACTGGAGTGGGTTGCCATTTCCTCCTCCATGGGATCAACCCAGGGATCAAACCCGCAGCATCTCTGTCTCTTATGTCTCCTGCATTGGCAGACAGGTTCTGTATCATTAGCGCCACCTGGGAAGCCCTGGGAAAGTGGCAAAAGCAGTCCCAAGTGAAGTCAGATGGCATCTGGCTTGTCATTTATTTGGGAAAATGTAAGCGGTCCTTCTGTGGTCTAGGAAGACAGCATTCTCGAGTGGGAATGACAATAATTCGCTGCTGACTTTGTGTTGTTGAGTCAGTGTTAATGCTGCATTGACAGAGCACTGGGGTGAAGAGCCCTGAGCTGTCAGCTTCCTAGACAATAGTCCAGCCTCACCCAGGTCCTGATAGAAGGGGTAGGACATCCTCCTGGCCATCTGCTCAGGGCTGACATTTGGAGATGAGAGGGTTTATGTCTTTTGGGATGTGAAAGCTATCACAGGAGCTTCCCATTTTGACTCAGAGAACCCAGCATAACCAAGATGATGTTAGTCAGACCAGTGAAGACCAATTTGAAGATGACTCTTAGAGATGACTATGCTGTTTCTGCATGTAACCACCCCCCCAGACTCTGTCTATAAAAGCTCCCACTCCTTGCTTGTCACAGGGGAAGTCAGACTTTAGACAGATGTCCGCCATACACCCCCACCCCTCGCAGTTGCCGGAATCTGAAATAAAGCAAACTTTTCTTTCCACCAAAAAAAAAAAAAGATAGGAAAAGAACTGTGGCTGGGATATTTGAGGAATCTGGACGCATAGTATCCCTCTGCCCTCCTGTCCACAAAGAAGAACAGAGGAAAGCGTTCCACCATGAGGGTCACAGCTCACCTCACAAGGTCTACTGCAGGCTAAATAGTCAGACCAGTGGGCACCTCATAAGTTAGTACCCTGTTAGTACCCTGTTCTGAGACTTTTCTATCTGCCCCATCACCCCCACAAAAGCCAGGGAATGTTAACCCTTTATAAATCTATGGTGGGATGTGAGGTTTTACTGGACATTAAGGTTTTCTGTCCCTGGAGGCAGGTGACACAAAGATTGCCCATGCATCTTAGGTGGCCAAGTTTGGGTCTGAAACCCTATCAAGAGTTACAAATCTGTGGTATATGTTCGAAGGTTGAACTTGTTTTACATAGAATTTCCACACAGTGTGACAAACAGCCTGGATTAATACCCAGTTTGTTCTCATTTATCAGGATTAGCACTTCATGCAAAATAAAGACTGTCCCTGACAGAGAAATTTTGGTTCCACTGAGAAACTTTGAGCAAATTTTGGATTTTACTACCAAAGCATTTTTTTTTTTTTTTTGGAGAATTGACCTCAAGTTCTTAATCCAGCCGAGTACGGCCAAGTCTATCCAAGACCTAGTAAAGCATTGTGTGAGGAAAAGTTCAGGATCTTCTGGGATCCCCTCCAGACCCCAACGCTAGTCTATTTCTGGAACACAATTACCTTTTCTGCAACAGGATTAGGCATTTCAATTGGCTGGAAGACATGAGTCCCAATAGCCACGCTGAGGGCCCTGTAGACCCCTTCTGTACTGTCTGGATGGCAAGCAAAATAAAGCAGCATCTGTGTGTAGTCAAGCTGGGGTGGATCCTTCTCGCAGTCAGCAAACAACCTAAAGAAAAACTGTCACACAAAAAAGAATTTCAGCCAGAGAGAAAATGCAAACCATCAGGTAGACAGTGGATGAACAGGCAATGAAGAATCTCTCCAGCAGTTTTGGAATAAGGTCATTTTCTGAGGACTGAATTACTAAAACTAACATGTAATGAATGGTATTAACTGAAAAGTAAGCTAAATATTAAAAAAAAAAAGTAGGGCTCTAAAAATTCTGATGTTCTAATGAGGTGGGTGAACCTAGAGCTTATTAGACAGAATGAAGTACATCAGAAAGAGGAAGACAAATATTCATGTGTGTGTATGTGTGTATATATGTGTGTGTGTGTGTATACATATCAAGCCTGCAATACAGGAGACACAAGAGATGAAGGTTTGATCCCTGGGTCAGGAAGATCCCCTGGAGTAGGAAATGGCAACCCACTCCAGTATTTTTGCCTGGAGAATCCCATGGATAGAGGAGCCTGGTGAGCTACAGTCCCTGGGCTTGAAAAGAGACAGACAAGATGCATGTACTAATTAAAGTGGTGCATATTAGGTAGAAAAAGAGAGCAAGGACCCTTCTGTCCATCCTCAACTCCATCCTGACATACTGGCCCTGATTCCCAATCATGAAGCTTCTGGTGGGAAGTGGGGAGAGGGAAGGGAATGATGCCCAAAGCCACTGGGACTCCAGACACTAGCCTCCTTGTTTCAGCCACTTGACTCCAAACTCCCTAATCTGTTGATGTAATGTGACTCCTTCCAGTGAGGACTCTCAGAGGAAGAGTGTGCTCATCACTGAATACCAGCTTCTTCAGCAGGTCTCTCCCACATCCTGAATGACTGAGCTTCCAGTCAGTTCTAGACGCATTGTCTCATGCATTTGACAGTGTAAAGAGTTGGTGCTTGGGGATCTAATATCATCCTCTGGGGCCCAGCAAAGCCCAGGCCAAACCCTGGGACACAGAGGCCACACCTAAATACCTAGGGACTTCTGTTCTGGGAGGCAACTGGCTCTTCTCAAACATGTGTGTTTAGTAACCTTTAAAAAATGTATACTCTAATAAAGTAGATGGTTCTGGATGTTTGCAGGAGACCCCCATTCGATTCCTGGATCAGGAAGATACCCTGGAGAAAGGATAGGCTACCCACTCCAGTATTCTTGGGCTTCCCTTCTGACTCAGTTGAGAAGGAATCTCCCTGCAATGTGGGAGACCTGGGTTTGATCCCTGGGTTGGGAAGATCCCCTGGAGAAGGGAAAGGCTACCCACTCTAGTATTCTGGCCTGGGTCACAAAGAGTCGGCCACAACCGAGCGACGTTCACATTTTCTTTCTTTCTTTTCTGGATGTTTAGTAGATGGCCTAAGTTTCTTCATGTTTAGCAAGCTCCTAGGTGATTCCAAAACTGCTGGTTCTGACCTACACTTTGAGAAGCAAGTATCTAGATCTAGAGATAGCATATCATTCTTCAAAAAAAAAATTTAATTGGAGTATAACTGCTTTACAAGTTTGTGTTGGTTTCTTCCGTACATCAGTGTGAGTCAGCTGCATGCCCTCTCTCTTGAGCCTCCCTCCCACCCCTCCACCCCACTCTTCTAGGTCATCACAGAGCACCAAGCTGAGTTCCTTATACTACACAGCAGATTCCCACTAGCTATCTGTTTTACACATCGTGTCCTTCCTTATTACTAGCAATCTTTACAACTATTAGCAAATTCAATTAGACATCCATGACGAATTGGAAAAATAAATTCCTGATATTTGACAAATCTAATACAAATTTAATTAAAAATAACTTTAATAGGAAGATACTAAAGTCTAAAGGATAGCACAAACTAAACTTCATAGCATAAACTAAAGTTTTGCTATGATGCAGAAAAGAATTTTTGAGGTCAATGGACTCTGCAAGCTCAATCATTCAGAAGTTTACTGAATATTTGCTGTAAGCAGGCACAGAGCCGGGCTCAGATGGTCAGGCAGCCTTAGATTTTTCAAGAGTCATGATCCAGCTTTTGGGTTCCTTCAGGACCTTGTATTTATTTCCTCTTCCCACTTGTCATTGGAAGTCCTCAGGGATTTCCAGCAGGACATGGGGTAGAAGGGTGTTGACACCAATAGATAACTACAGCGTTGTCCTTTCATGCTTATCTTCCATTTCTTTCATATGAATCCTTGATTTTTAGTATTATTTCCACTGAAATGCTCTTGAAAATGCTATGTAGGTGCAACACATTATTTCTATTAACAAAGAGGCTGAATATGATATATTGAAGGAAGATGTGAAAAAATAAAGTGAACTGATATGTGAACTCCATCTCTTAATTACACAGGCTTGATTTTAAATCAGTGGATGAGACATGTAAAAAAGGTAAGGCCTGCTATATTCTTAAGATCATTTAAAATGTTGTTATGGGAAGAATTCTAAGAAGGCTTTGAAGCTTCCCGCCCCGCTGGAGTACCCCCTTGAATACATATCTTGTATAATCCCTTCCCCTTGAGTGTAAGGGATTTTAAATGTGATGAGAAAGTCATTCCCAGGAGTAAAGGCAAAGAGATTCTGCAGACAATTAAGGTACTTAATCAGTGGGTTTTGAGTTAATCAAAAGAGACCCCAAACTTGGGCCCTGATTTAATCATGTGAGAGGTGTTTTAAAAAGGACTCTTTTTAAGGAAGGTCTTAAGGAAGAAATTAGAGATTTGAAGCCAATGAGATGCTCTCCTGCTGGTGAAGAAGCAAATCTCAAACTGTAAAAAGGCCATCTGGCAGGGAACAACAGGTAGCCTCTCGGAGCTGCAGTTCTCAGTCCTACAAGATAATTCTGCCAGTAGCCAGTCCTGGAACCAATCAACCCTGTGTTTTGAAGGTAGAACTACTAAGGCTTCCAAAAAGAATTGGATGTGAGATTTTGGGGGGGAAAAAAAAAGGAAAAGAACTGGGGATGACTTCTAGGGTTTTGGCCTGACCAACAGGAAGGTCATAATGTCTACTGACCAAGATGGAGAGGTCTCTAGGTGAAGACAGGGCAGCAGGGTGATGGAGATGGGAGATCAGGGACTTAGACTTGGATGCAGTAAGTCTGAAATGTCTACTAGAACATCCAAGTGGAGATGTCCAATAAGCAGCTATGTTTAGGAGTCTAATGTTTGGGAGAGAGATTTGGGGTTGAAATAGACTCTTGGGATTTGTTAGCAAATAGATAGTATTTCAAAACACAAGCCTGGCTTCAACAAATGGTAATAGTCCAAGGTCCACTGGAGGGTGAAATGGAAGACTACTTCAGTATTTCTGAACCCCATAAACAGTAGGAAAAGGCAAAAGAAATGACACCAGAAAAAGAACCCCCAGGTCGGCAGTTGTCCAAAATGCTTCTGGGGAAGAGAGGAGAAATAGCTTCAGAAAGAGTGAAGAGGCTGAACCAAAGTGGATATGATGCCCAGCTGTGGATGTGTTAGGTGGTGAAAAAAAAATGATGTGGTAAAGAACAATATTGCATAGGAAACTGGAATGTTAGGTCAATTATAAATTCCAAGGTAAATTGGAAGTGGCAAGAGTGGCAGAGTGAACAGAGACGGCAAGAGTGAACATTGACATTTTAGGAGTCAGGGAACTAAAATGGATGGGAATGGATGAATTTAATTCAGATGATCATTATATCTACTACTGTGGGCAAGAATCCCTTAGAAGAAATGGAACTGCCTTCATAATCAACAAAAGAGTCCCAGAGGCAGTACTTGGGTGCAATCTCAAAAACGACAGAATGATCTTGGTTCATTCCCAAGCCAAACCATTCAACATCACAGTAGTCCAAGTCTAATGCCCCAACCACTGATGCTGAAGAAGCCGAAGTTGACTGGATTCTACAAAGACCTACAAGACCTTCTAGAACTGACATTAAAAAAAAGATGTCTTTTTCATCAGAGCAGATTGGAATACAAAAATAGAAAGTCAAGAGATACTTGGAGTAACAGGTAAGTTTGGCCTTGGAGTACAAAATGAAGTAGGCTAAAGGCTAACAGAGTTTTGCCAAGAGAATGCACTGGTCATAGCAAACACCCTCTTTCAACAACCCAAGAGACAAATCTACATATGGACATCATTTGATGGTCAATACCAAAAACAGATTGATTACATTCTTTGTAGCCGAAGATGGAGAAGCTGTATACAGTCAGCAAAAATAAGACCTAGAGCTCACTGTGGTGAGCCATCAGCTTCAGTGAGATCATCAGCTTCTCATTATGGAAGATGTGGAGAAGAGATTATGACCAAAAAATGTGTGATTTGAGTATGATGAATTAAATTGCCTTTTCTCAGGATATCCCTATAGATTTTTAAAAATATTTGGTATTGTGTGGCCAGCTGGGAAGCCAGGACATGGCTGAACCTCATCAGTTATAAGGAAATGCACTGTCACTGTCGAGACAATGATGTGACTGCGACACAGACGTGTCTCAGGGATCCTTTTTTGGATGTAAAGAGACCTTTTACCCAGTGCCTGGGATTCATCTGAATTCATGGACAGTGATAAGACCTATCTCCAGGAGCCCTGCCAGCCCTGGATCATAGAGAATACAGGTGACAAAGCAGGAGAGCTGGGTGTGGCCCTAGACTGTAGGCCAAGCCCTTTTCTTAAGCCCTCTTAAGAAGATGCAGAGGTTCTGGCAGAAAGAACCTATATTTCAAGGTCCTACAGTGATTCCTGGCAGAATTGGAACAGAGTCCAGGGATCCTGATGCTTAGAATTCCTCTTTATGGGGTGTTTTCCCCCAGTTTGGTCTTCACTGCTCTGGTAATGGCCAAAAAGTAAACTTATTATATTGTTTTATGTTTTCCCTTTGTGCAACTTCTTTAGGATGTTAACCATTAAGCGTTGTTTCACCATGTAGGGTTAGCGTGGTTAGCTTCTGTTTAGCTGACACTTACATAGGGCTTACTGTGTGCCGATCACTGCTCTAAAAGGACCACACATATGAACTCATGCTGTACAACAACCCCAGCAGCAAAGGATGAAAATAAAACCACAGCACAGAGAGGTTGGGTAACTCCATCAAGACCTCACAGCTTTGTCAGCCATGGCAATCTGTGCTTTCAGTCCCAGTTGAAGGGTATTGAGATTTATGAAATGTAGAGCATCCAGTCTGTGGGACAGAGAGGCATGGAAAATTCCACTCCCTTCTGTCTTATGGACACTACACACACACTCTCACACACATCTGTCAGCCGTCCTTTGCCCCATTATTGTTCACCTGCTAAGTCATGTCCGATTCTTTGCGACCCCATGGACTGCAGCATGCCAGGCTTCCCTGTCCTTCAAAAAGTTTGCTCAGACTCATTGTCGATTGAGTCCGTGATGCTCTTTAACCATTTTATCCTCTTTGCCCCTTTTTCCTCCTGCCCACAATTTTTCCCAGCATCAGGGTCTTCTCCAATGAATCTGCCTCATAGAGCACATCTTCCTCAGACTTTGTGGTCCTGCCTCTACCCTCCCCCGCACACTTTGTTCCAGCAGTTTGGGCAGCAGCAGATGGGAGCCATACCCCTCCTTGGCACCCAGAGGCCTCTCTGGCTTCTCTGCCTTGCAGTCCTCAGGGCTGACCAGCATAGGCTGCCTCCTGCTTTCAGCAGCTCCGTGAGCAACTGAAAGGCTCTGCTGTGATGGACATTTCTAACAATTTCTCGCAGAAAAAGAAAATGCTTTGTACTTGACATCCTATTTAGACTACTAGCCTCTTCCCACGGAATGAAAAACCTATTTATATATAGATACGCTTTCCAAAGCTTTACAGGAGAATTGAATTCACTCCTCCGGTTATAAAACAATCAACAACAACCAAAACAAAAAGCTGCCCCACAACTGCCAGCCTCATGTTTTGAACTTCTTTGGTAACTCCCTGACCCCTTTCTTTCACCTGTTCTCCTGCTAGCATCTAGCAGATATGCTTGAAATATGCGTCCAGTGGAAGAGAATTGCTCACTTTCATGTTACAACAAGTCATGTTCAATTTTGCATTGTAATTACACTAATGGCTGGCTGAATTGATTAATCAATACACATAGCTTACTGTCCTGTCTAAATCTACCATTCAATGTTTCTCATATCTTATCGAACTTGATTGTGTTGGATATAGTTTCATATTTTTAACATTTATACTGAAGTCAGAATAGTTTTCAGATTTTAAGATCTTATATACTATTGTGGCCTCAGGGATACAAGTTAATGATAGAAGTTAATGGCCAAAGTGTTCATTCAGGTTTTTCCATAACATGATATGAAAAGCCCAAATGAATTTTTTGACCAACCCAAAAATGATGATGATATTTTTGATGATAGCAATAATCTGATGGGTATGCAAACTCTTGGAATGTAACATGAATTAGTCAAAATCAAAGAGAAAGGAACAAAGGCATACATTGGTAAAAGGCAGTTCTTATCCAAAGCCTTTATAATTATAAGGAATTGAAGAATGTGCTCAGTAACAGCTGATTTGCTAGATGAGAAAAGTGAAGCCCAGGGAGCTTAAGAATATTGTCCAAGATCACACAGGGAGTTAACAGGAGGACTGATTAAGATTTTGACCTCTGCCTCCTCTCCAGACTCCTCTATACTGCCGCCTTGTACTCAGTTGCTCAGTCTTGTTTGACTCTTTGTGACCCCACGGACTGTAGCCCCCAGGCTCCTCTGTCCATGGAATTTTCCAGGCAAGAATACTAGCATGGGTTGGGCATTTCCTTCTACAGGGGATCTTCCCAACCCAGGGATTGAACCTGAGTCTCCTGTGTCTCCTGAATTGGCAGGCAGATTCTTAATCACTAGTGCCACCTGGGTGAATATTAAACTATGCACTTTGGGAATACATTAAAGGAACAGGGAATGGGGATGGAGTCTAAGACTAATTACACAAGAAACTGATCAATGTTACCGTGATATGGTGCTACATACATACACTTTTTAAAAAAATACCTCAGTCATTACCTCTATAAGATGCTCCTGCCTATTGAATGGCAGGGGTTCAAGAAGATTTTCTGGAATTTTGATATCTTCATCTCCTGTAAACCACAGGCCAGCCTACACAAAAAAAACAAAAATGAGAATCATTAAAGTTATGCTGAGATGTAGTTGCTGCTCTCAGAGCCACAAAGGTTGAATTGGTCTTTGTAAGGTGTCTAGAGCAGAGGTCCACAAAGTAAGGGGCAGAAACCATGGGAGTGCTGAAGTAAATTCTAGAAATTCCATTCACGTATATGAGATCTCATTGTTTTGTAATTATTTAAAAAAACTGATAATGTATAGAATGCATTAGTGCAATAGTACACATGAATGATTTATAAATGAAAACCCACAGGCCAGGGTGCCAGCTACTCTATGACTATACTGTAGCTGTTGGAATGTGCAATGAAGTTTGAAGGTCCTCACCCTGGATGTGGATTGCACAGCAGTATCATGGCTCAGACAGTAAAGAATTCACCTGCAATGCAGGAGACTTGGGTTTGATCTCTGGGTGGGGAAGATCCCCTGGAGGAGGGCATGGCAACCCACTCCAGTATTCTTGCCTGGAGAATCCCATGAACAGAGGAGCCTGGAAAGCTACAGTCCATGGGGTTGCAAAGAGTTGGACACAACTGAGCGACTAAGCATACTCTACTGGTGTCTGTGTCCCCCATCACGTTGCATATGTCCTGTCCGTGTTTGTATGTGTCTTGGAGCTTAGTGTCCTGCTGGGGCGTGTTGTTGGTGTTGGAAATCTTGGCTGACTGAGTGACTGGCTGACTCAAGGGCTCAAGGACCGATTTTGAAAAGACAGAGCACTTGTCCTCAGCCCATGTCTGACACTAAGGACCAAACCCCTTGATTGCCATCTTGGGGATGCCTTGCCCCTCTCTCCTTTTCCCCCATCCCACTGCTCCCATGCTGGTGTAGAGCCCTATTGCCTCCATCATTAACTGCTCCAGCAGCCTTCAAGCTGTCTTCATTTCCAGTCTCCCTCTTGTTTGTTTCAACTCAGACCATTCGACCATATCAATTTTCCCTAAACTTGATTCTTGCCATGTCAGCCTCTACTCAGAACCATTTCCTTCTCTTGCTGTCTTGCTCACATCATTCCTCCTCCAGGTGATTACCTGTCCACCAATGTCAACCTGGTTATCTCACCAGACCCAGCTTAAATTACACCTTCTCAGAGACGTCCTCTCTTCTTTGTTCTCTCCTTTAAACTCCTGTTTGATGTGTTTATATCACACATTTGGGCATTCAGTATATTTTGGGTGGCCTCATTCATATGTGCTATTAAACATCAGGTATTAATTCCTTGGGTTCGAAGAATGTGTCTTGCCAAGCTTAAACATATGGCAAGTACTTCCTTTTGTTCCTAGGTCTTGCTCCCTTGCTGTCTTCCACACTGACAACCTACCCTTGGCACTGCCTACTGCCAAGAACCACTGGCAGGTCTAACATGACTCTGGCCTATGCTCTGTGCCTTCTTTCTTTCCGAAAATTACCTGTGCTTGGAAAGAAGGCTGGAGTGGCACTGGGTAGCTTATAAGAGGATGCAGCCTTCAGAGGTGGAGACTGAGTTTTCATTTAGAACAGAGGAGTGCTGGGTGGGAGATTCTGGCCATGAATAAGCGCGTGAGGGAGAAGATCCAGGAGAAGCGAGGGTCCAGCATGGGCTCAAGTTCTGAATGTAAGTGCTTTGCTTTGCCCAGTGGCTAAACTGTTGACAGTAAGTATCACTCCATGGGCGCTTCCCTGGTGGCTTAGATGGTAAAGGAACTGCCTGTAATGTGGGAGAATTGAGTNATACTGGGGCTTCCCTGGTGGCTTAGATGGTAAAGGAACTGCCTGCAGTGCAGGAGACCCGGGTTCGATCCTAAGTCAGAAAGATCCCCTGGAGAAGGGCATGGCAACCCATTCCAGTATTTTTGCCTGGACAATCCCATGGGCAGAGGAGCCTGGTGGGCTGCAGTCCATGGGGTTTCAGAGTTGGCCACGACTGAGTGACTAACACTTTCACTGTCACTTTCAGCAACCAGGTACTTCCTTTGAATATTATTTGGAAGAAAAAGGACTCCACAGAACGTGCTGCTTGGTCATAGTATTATAAATAATTGTTATAAAGGCCCGTATTATAAATGGTCATGAGGCACAGTGGAGGCTCAAACCTATTATATACCCCTAGCTATGCTGCCACGTGCTCTTTTCTTTCTAAGGCATCTATGGAAGATGCTTAACATTACACCAAATGGACATGGCCCAGGCACACATTGGGGCTTAAAGGTTAGCTAAGGCCAGAAGGACATGGTACCAATGTTCAACACAGCGGGGGCCTTATGTCCCAGAAGGACAACGGATTCTCTGACCCACCAGGCCTTAGAAAGCTTCAGGGTGAGAGTCCAGCACCCTGGATAGCTCCCTCAACGGCAGGGTTGAGCAGAGACTGACTTTCCACGGAACCTCAGGCGTGTTCAGCTGGTCTGTGAAAAGATAACTGAGTTCATTTGTGCTTAGGAACTCACTGTTGTTTGCCCAAGATGGTTTAGTTTTTATATTTCGCTTCCCATTTCCAGTTGCCTTCTGTCTTGACATGTGCACCCCTGTCTAGAAAAGGCCAGAGGATGGGATAGAAGTGGAGGCTGCTCTGTCGTTACAGAGCTGTCTTATCTCTGGAGTCCTTTCAGAGATGTGGCTCAGAGTTGGTTCTGGCGGTACATTCACACAAAATTCCTACACCTTTGGTCTCCATATTTCCCCACTTGTCCCTCCACAGTCTAGTTTCCGCGCAACAGCAGCAGAGATCTTTCAGATGTATTAATCAGGTCACATGCTCTTGTACTTCAGACGCTCACTGCTGTTAAAGTCCAGGTCCCTTTCCATGACTTAAAGTACTCTGCATGGTCGTATCCCTGCTCACTTCTCTCCCTATCACTGTAATCCAACCAGGTTGGCCACACTTCTCTTTCCCCAACACACCGCATGCACCCCTTCTTCAGCACATGTGGTTCCCTTTTATTTTTTTCTTTGCTTTCAGCTGTCTACTTGGTTGGCTTCTTATCATTCAATTCCTGTCCAAGATCGTATTCTCAGAGAAGTGTTCCCTGATTATGCCACCAAAAATAACTCTACAAATCTTTGCCTTCAGTTTTTTTTTAAAGTACTTTTCTTACTTTTCTTTAAGGCCCTTAAACCCTTAATGAACTTTAAAATTTATTCACTTAGTTGATTATTATCTGTCTACAACAAGTGCCAGGCTTACCTGATGGCTCAGTGGTAAAGAACCAACCTGCCAATGGAGATGATGAGGGTTCAATCCCTAAGTCAAGAAGATCCTCTGGAGAAGGGAATGGCTGCCTATTCCAGTATTCTTACCTGGGAAATCCCATGTTCAGAGGAGCCTGGCGGGCTGCAGTACATGGGGTCACAAAAGAGTCGGACACGACTTGGCAACCAAGCACGCATGTGTGCAACAGGTGCCATGGTCAAATATTCCTGCCCACACTTGGATGGAAGCTCAGTGAGAGCTGATTTCCGGCCCTGTTTGTTGCAATATCTCCCATGACTATAGTCATGTTGAGCACACATCTGTTAAATAAGAGAATATGGCAAGAAGTCAAAAGAATGACAGATAAAACCTATAGGAAGGTCTCAGAAAAGGGAGTTATTTCATTGAGTAAGACTAGCAAGAGAAGTGTTAATGCAAGTGGTATGTTTGATATGGGCCTGAAAAGAATGGGAGGATTTTCATAGGCATTAAGAAGCTTGGGGAAGAATTCCAGAAATGTGAAATAGCATAAACCAAGAAATGCACAGTGGAAGTTGAGTAAATTGACTGTGAAAGACCCAAGGGCTTCTTATCTTCTCCCTGACTCTTTGTTTTTCCCTCTTCGTCTCTCTATGTGCAGGCATTCCCCAGAGTTTTCAGCCTCTGTTCCTTTCACCTTCTCATCCGTTTCTCCGCCCAGCTTCCTAAGCACTGTCATATCTATCTGTTATGGTAGGGGTCTGCAGCCCCTGGGCTCTGGACCAGTACTGCACTCAGCAGGAGGTGAGCGGAGGGTGAGCGGCCAAGCTTCATCTGTATTAACAGCCGCTTCCCATCACTGACATTACTGCCTGAGCTCAGGAAAAAAAGTTCAGGGAGCCCACTGATTCTGCATTATGGTGAGCTGTCTAATTATTTTGTTATACATCCCAATGTAATAATAATAGAAATAAAGTGCCCAATAAATGTTATGGGTTTGAATCATCCTGAAAATATCCCCCTCCCCCAGTCCATGGTAAAATTGTCTTTCACCAGAATGATCCCTGATGCCAGAAGGTTGAGGGCTGCTGTGTAATGAGTTGTATTGTGTCCCCCCAAAAGATATGTTGAAGTCCTAATCCCCCAGTACCTCAGCATGTCACCTTATTTGGAAATAGGGTCATTGCAGGTACAATTAGTTAAGGTGAGTACTCCACCATACTAGAGCAGGGTGGAGCCTTAATTCAAGAGGACTAATGTTTTTATTGGAAGAGGAAATTTGGACAGAGAGGCAGAGATGATGGAGAGATATTGAAGTGCTGCATCTACAAGCCATGGGATCATCAAGGATTGCTGGCAAACACCAGAAGGCAAGTAAATCTTCCCTGCAGGTTTCAGAGGGAGCATGACTCTGCTGACACCTTGATTTCAGACTTTTAGCCTCCAGAAGTGTGAAGTAATACTTAATGTTGTCTTAACAATTTTGTGTTAGCAACCGTGCTTCTTCATTACTCCTGGGTGTCCCCAACACTAGCTCCTCCTCCTGCCCACCTTTATATCAGTTCCCTCCACGTTCCCCCATGTGTCCACACTTAGAAGCATGGAGCTTGTTCACTCCTTTGCTGTGATGGTTCCCATCAGAGGTGTTGTGTAATCCTGTTGAGTCTCTCTCTTTAATGTCTATCCATTCAGCTCCCACTACTCAGAGTTTGCCCCTTTAACTTTCACCATGATCATTGCAGTGATTCAATTTTTTTCTTCTGCCTTCTGCATTTAAGTCATTTACTTCATTTGGTTTCCTTCTTCTCAACCCATCTGCACACTGACAGTCTGTTAATATTAGCAAATCACTAATCATGTCAACACTTTGCACAGAATTCTCTAATGATATTCATGGCCCACAGAAAAATCCTTTGACATCCAAGCATTCAAGGATTTCCACAGTCTTGCCCTAGCCTGTATTTCTAGTTGTTTTAAAGTCACCATTTCTACTTCTGAAGTAGAATGTCTAGAATGGACTACTTGCTGTTACTCAAACATGATCATCCCATTTCTTTGCTGGGACTTTCTTTCCAGATCTACCTGTAAAATTTCTTCTTGTCAAAAGTGTTTGTATCAAACCCCTGATGTTAATGCAGAAGTTCTCTCTCTCCTATGACCCTCCATATTACAGTCAACACTTTGTATCTGTGGATTCAACTAACTCCAGATTGAAAATAGTAAAGAAAATTTCCAGAAAGTTCCAAAAATCAAAACTTGAATTTTTCTTGTGCCAGCTAACTATTTACATAGTATTGACATGGCATTTACAACTATTTGCATTTACATTATATTGGGTATGATAAGTAATCAGGAGATGATTCAAATAATACTGGAGGATTTGTGTGGCATGTATGCAAATGCTGTGGCTATTTTATATAAGGCACTTGAACATGAACAGATTTTGGTATCCAAAAGGGATCCTGTAACCAATTCCCCAGGGATACTCTGGGATGACTGTATTTTGTTCCCATTGCCTAGGATGGCAGGTGCAGACATGCCTTGTTTTGTTGCACTTTGATTTATTGCTCTTTGCAAATACTGTGTTTTTACAAATTGAAGGTTTGTGGCAACCCTACATCAAGTGTCTTATCTGTGCCATTTTTTGAACAGCATTTGCTCACTTTGTTTCGCTTTATTACATTTTGGCAATTCTCACAATATTTCAAACTTTTAAATTCTTACTATGTTTGTATGGTGATCTGTGATCAGTGGCCTTTGATGTTACTATTGTAATTTTGGGGGCATCATGAATTGGATCCATATATGATAATTAACTTAATTGATTAATGTTGTGTGTTCTGACTGCTCCAATGATGACCTGTTCCCTACTCTCTGCCCTTCTCCTTGGGTCTCTCTATTAACTGAGACACAACAGTATTAAAATTAGGCTAATTAATAACCCTGCAGTGGCCTCTGATTGTTCAAGACGAAGGAAAATTCAATCAATGTAGCAAACTTTGTTGTCTTATATTAAGCAATTGTCACTTTCAGCAGCCACTACCCTAATCAGTAATCAGCCATCAACATTGAGGCAAGACCCTCCACCAGCAAAATGACTGTGACTTGCTGAAGGCTCAGATGACGGTTAGCATTTTCTAGCAATACAGTATTTTTTAATTGAGGCATGTACATTTTTTAGACATAAAGCTATTGTACACAATAGATAGCAGTATAGTATAAACATAACTTTTATATGTATTGGGAAACAAAAACATTCATGTGACTCCTTTTATTGTGATGATTGCTTTATTGCAGTGGTCTGGAACCTAGCCCTTAATATCTCCAAGACCTGCTTATGTTTGTGTGTGTGTCTTTTCTCTGTGAGTCTCCCCAAAGCAAGATCCAAATCAAGACTTCATATTACAGGAGTCACTCAATGAATATAAGAATGAAAAGAAGGTTAGGATTAGGCAATACAAAACCATTACATTTTTTTCAATCATGGGAGATGACAAAACACCCTTTAATTAAGATT